AGGAATAATTATTTTTCCTTCTCCCAAATTTACATGTTATTAGAGTTAGAGTTCCTATAGTTCACAGTAGAAGAGGTGGCGCCAATCTTCTCGAGGCCGAGGCCGAGGCTTTCTCCCGCTCATGATCGTGAGGACGCTTGCGAAGCGATTGCCCACCGAAGACACTGATCGTGACCCTTCTCTTATGATGCAGTACTGTCGAAGAGGCTTCGAAGACAGTCGAAGCAAGAGCTCCCTGAGGCTGCTTCAATCTTTCCCATGGCAGTTGAACTAGCAATTGATCTACGTAGTCCTTAATGTATCCAACAACTGCTCTAAATTTGAATCTTCATCTTCATCTTTATTCGCATGATTCAAATGCTCTATTTGAACATAGCGCAAAACATCGTTTGAGTTCTGCAAATCGTTCGAACACTCCGTTCGGTTTTGAGAATCATTTCTTCTGCAGATCGCTTCTCCCTTTAGTTTGGGTAGATTAACTAAACCAGCGAACAATTCAGCCCCTATGATCTATTTGGCTTACCTAGCTATCCTATAATCCTATGTCGAACTCGTGGAAAGATCAGTCAAACTAAGATTTGTGGCTATCACGAAATTACAAGCGACGCAGGCTTAGAACTCTTTTTTTTAGAGGATTTCAGCTTCTTTGCAGAAGTCTTCACAGGCTTTGAGCGCCGAAATAACTCGCGACCATAATCAACTCAAGTTTCTACCCCATTCTCTTATCCTTTGATGATGTCGTACAAGTCAGCAATAACCGCCGCCCAAAGAAATTCTACCATTTGTACTAGTTCAAGTAATTTTGAAACCACTTCGCTTTTCCATGGTGGTGCAAGCATTGTAAAAATTCATGGCATACAAAGAAGACGTGAAAGCTTCATGGTAAACCTGCGAATTAGAAATCAAAATCCAAACAAGAAGGTTGAACTTATCAAGCAACTGCTGATGAAACTCAATATTCTACCAACTCGAATGCAATTCCTTTTACCAATGAGCAACTAGCAGAACTTGTTTCAATATTCAAAATTGTCACTGACTCGATCTTGATCTTCAGTAAATAAGGATAACTCTCTAGTCAATGCATTATTTAGTGTTTAATCATAATTTTGTTCATTTTTGGATAATTGATTTTGGCGCAACTGATAATGACTATTTATTCAAAATTATTCTCATAATATAAATCATATGCAGGTAATAAAAAAGTCAGTTTGTCAATGATTTGCTCTTGGTAATTGTTGGAATACAAACTATCAGATTCACCTCATTATTAATTCTTCATGACGTACTCCATGTTCCCAAATTGTCTTGTAATTTATTATCCATTAGTAAAATTACTTCTACTCAATCAGTTTCAAGCTAATCTCTACTCTTCCTATTGTGAGTTTCAAAAATTGACCATTGGAAGAATGATTGGCAATGCAAAAAAAAATGAATGGACTCTATTATTTGACGATAAACTTGAGGTCAATAAATAATTATAGTGTTGGTTTTAATTTTGGTTTTGTTTCTAAAGACAATGATATTATGTTATGACATTACAGGTTATGTCATCCTAATTTTTAGCATTTAAAATTCATGTTTCCCAATTTATTTTAGAATAAAAATTTATCATTTTTCCAATATGAAATTTGTCTGTTGGTCAAACATCATGTGTCTTTTTTTTCCCCAAATTTACAAATAAATCGCACCATTTTATAAAAAGGTGGTGAGACCTGCAATGTTTTATGATGCAAAATGTTGGCCTTTAAAAGATACGCATAAAACAAAGTTAAGTGTCGTTGAGATGAGAATGCTTAGATGGATGAGTGGCTTGACATTTGGAGAGACAAAATGCTAAAACGAATGTATCCGTGGAAGGGTTAGGGTAGCTCCAGTGGCAGACAAGATTAGATAGAGTCGTCTTAGATGGTTCAGTCACATTAAACTTCGACCATCTGATAATCCGATTAGGAGAGTAGATGTTTAAGATTTAACTTATGTTAAGAAAGGCAGAGGAAGACCTAAAAAAACTCAGGCATACTATATAAAAAATTATCTTAATTTACAAGAATTGAATGAAAATATGACACTCAATAGAACACAATAGAGAAAAAGGATTCTTGTAGCCAACCCACTTAGCGGGATGAAGGCTTTTTGTTGTTGTTGTGATATCTAGGGTCATTGTAAACATCTTACATACTCTAAAAAAAAAAAAATTTGTGACAATTACTAATCATCACACAAGTTTAAGATGGATGTATTTAATGAAAAAAAAATCTAAAGTGAAAAAAATTTTCAAAATTTTTATGTCATATACAAATACAATTCCAAAAAACTATTCAAATATTACGGAATGATAATGGTCAAAACTATGTTTAAAATATTACGGTCAATTTTTATCCAAAAATAGTTCCTTAAAGCTCATGTTGACACCCAAAACAAAATGGTGTGGCTAAATGAAAAAATAAATACTTATGGGAAGTCATTCGGGCATTGATATTATAAATCTGGCGCCAAAATATATTTGGGGTGAAGTCATTCTTACAGTTATATTTCGCATAAATGGAACATATTTATATATATATTTTTTAAAAGCGTAACAATGGGCAGGCAAATTGAAGTTGGCAGATTAGCAACAATGGCATTGGTAGGGATAGCAGATATAAGTACAAGGTCAATGAAGCCGGTGAAATGATAGTGTGAGGTGTGAGTAATAACTCTAGAACACACAAGGCAGTGAATGCAATGATGTGGAGGAGAAGGCGGCAATGTTGTGGGAAAAAGATCATATAGAAACAGCAACTCCGAAGATGGGCAGTGGCAGCTTTGAGGATGGATGTTGATGGATTCAAGGACGAATACTGAAATTTCTGGCAGCACTAGGAAGAGTTCGAAACTTGTGAGATGGGCTTCATTTCAAGCGAGAATGGTGTATTTTAATTTCATTTGATTTGGGAAAATTCATAATGCACCAAGAATGACCTAATGGGAGAATTCTAAATCCTTCAAAGCAAACTATTTCAGATTTGCTTTACAAAGCCTCATCTAAAAATATTAAAATCCATAATATTTAAAAATGCAGTGCACTACCAATACTTGCAAACAAAAAACCCATAAATAAATGTGGAATTAGTAAGTATAAATTTGTTGACACTCCAACTGAACCACATAAAAATCTTAGAGAAGACGACAAAGGAAAACCTATTGATGTCACTTGATAGAAAACCGGGGGTTAAAAATAGTTTTTTTTATCTTATAGAAGACCTGGCATGACATTTGTTGAAGGCAAATTAGGCAATCACCACAAAAGGAACATCTAGAGGCTACATATAAAATATTCAGGTGCTTAAAAAAATGTCCTGGAAAGGAATAACACTTCAAGAAAAACACTTAGTTGCAATATTTAAGTTTATATTGATGCAGATTGGACAGGTTCTACAACTGACAAAAGATCCACAATAGATTCTTGTGCCCATGTATAGGGCAACTTTGTCACATGGAGGAACAAGAAATATAATGCAGCAGCTCCAATTTAGGCTAAAGATGAATATAATCCATGGCTAATGGGATATCTATGGTTACACAAGGTGGAATTAGTAAATAAACGTGGAATTAGTAAGTATAAATTAGTTGGCACTCCAATTGAACCACATAAAAATCTTAGAGAAGACAACAATGGAAAACCTATTGATGTCACTTGATAGAAAACCAGGGGTTAAAAATAATTTTTTTTTATCTTATAGAAGACCTGGCATGACATTTGTTGAAGGCAAATTAGGCAATCACCACAAAAGGAACATCTAGAGGCTACATATAAAATATTCAGGTGCTTAAAAAAATGTCCTGGAAAGGAATAACACTTCAAGAAAAACACTTAGCGCAATATTTAAGTTTATATTGATGCAGATTGGACAGGTTCTACAACTGACAAAAGATCCACAATAGATTCTTGTGCCCATGTATAGGGCAACTTTGTCACATGGAGGAACAAGAAATATAATGCAGCAGCTCCAATTTAGGCTAAAGATGAATATAATCCATGGGTAATGGGATATCTATGGTTACACAAGATTTTTATTTAGCTATAAAAAGCTATAGATTCTCTAATGAAACTATATTGTGACAACAAGGGAGTGATAAGTATAGCCCACGATCTTGTCCAGCATAATGAAACCAAGAGTGTTTGAGGTTGATCATCACTGTATAAAGGAAAATTTTGAAGCATGAATTATTTGCATGCATTTTTTCTCTTACCTCCAAACAAACCACAAATATTCTTGCAAAAAGATTGTTCAAATTTAATTTTAAATTCAGTATTAAAAAGTTGGAATTGAATGATGTCTACTCTCCAACTCGAGGTTAAGTGTAGACACGAAAGGATGAATAGGATCAACTGACGTCTAGTAAATTAGGAGGAAAAAGTGTTCATTGTATGAAAATGATTTCTCCAGAAGGAAATAAATGAATAGCCGTCACAAATAATAGAAAAATAAATCATTTTTATTTGAATTTTAAGTTTGTATCTCCTTTTCATTGGAAAGTTGCCATAAAATTATATGTAATGCAAAGTTTCCAAGAAGAGATGGTACAATGCCACAAGTTCACGTTCTATGTAAGCATGACATCTCAATTATTGAAGAGATAAAAAAATCATAAACAAGAATTATACATCTCACTGTATTTTCTAATCCGTGCATGATGCCCTTAACATAGAAGATTGCATGAAATCACCTACCATTTCTAATAGGCAAAATGTGTATTCTGAATAAAATCATAAATATTTCCATATTAAGGAATGAAGAGGTTGACAAACTGACTTATAATTCATTATTTATTCAAGTTGAGTTCATTGCAATTCAGACCATACAAAGAAAACTTTTAATTTTCTTCAGTGATTTTCAAAATTCATTTCCAAAACTTTTGAAAACCAGGATCAATCCAAAACTCTACAGAATGAGCTAATGACAATACAATAATTCAACCCCATCGAAAGTTTGAGATATTAGTGCAAATCAACGTACCTTCCTCTTCTTCATAACCAAGTTTAATGTGTCCTCAAGTTGTCGCTTCTTGTGCTTCCTAGCCTTATCCAAAGCACCATCTGCCTCTGCACAAACAAAATAGTATACATAAACTATATATAAACAAATTTGTAACTTTACATCAAAAGTTCTTATCCTTGTCATTTTTAGCATAAAGTGAAACTGTTATGTGCCGCTAGAATATATCTTAGCAAACACTCATTGATCCTAAAGTTTAAAAGCCGTCCATATCATCAAACTTTTAAATGCTGACAGGATATTGAGGTAAATAAAGTGAATACGAATTTTTGCTACCCCAAACAAAATGACCCAAATCATAACAGCTTCTTCTACTTTCCACAACAAAGATACAAACTAAGCCAATAATTAAAAACAAGCAAGTTGAACTTCAACAAGGAACTGTATAAAGAGTTTTCATTGAAATATAAAATACAAATTCAATCATTATGATAAAACTTTCAAATTTATATGTGGGCACAGAGATGGCAAAAAGAGCCAAAATCAATGATCAACTCGCAACTTAATATTTGATATGCCACTAGTAGTTGATATAATTCATAGATCATAGCATAAAGTAACCAATATAATAATGAAAAGTTGAAGACTAACTCATAAACTTTTTGCAATAAACATACAAGTGGAGGAACCTCACGAACTCCATTAGTAATTCACGCAGAATAATGCATCCACGTAAATAATCATGAAACACCCAAGTTTCAGATTTTTGCTAAATATTCAGTGATTTGTGAATTCCAATAACAAAATGTAGTCCAAGAATTACAAATCACAATTATGAGTATAAAGTTGTGATTTGCACAATTCCTACCTCTCAAACCCAAAAACTGCTCCCCTCCTACCTGACCCATCAATCCTTGCTCAAGCATGCTGGCAGCCAATGATCAGTAATCACTGACATTAGACAATAAATAAATTCGGAAAAAAACTTTGCCCCTAACCATCCATATAAACCTCGTTATTATCTCAATTGTCTGTAATGCGTAGATTCATAAATCGGCCTTCCTGTTCAGACCCGTTAAAAATTCCCTCCACCCAAAATAATAATAATATAATAATAATGATAATAGTAATAATAATATTTTGTATCTTTCCTCCTCTTCCAGGCCCTACATGGAAGAAGCAAAGCAGGTGAGAAATAGCAATCTAAGATAATACTTGACTTGGGAACAATCTGCAATGTCCAATTTCATCCTTTAATAAAAAATATATTATTACTTTTAGAAGAGAAGATAAACTTCTGAAGATTTGTCTTTCTCACAAGAAAAAACGTGTTTCAATGGAAAACCGAAGAAATCTCGGATAGTTTAAACTGCAAATCATTATCTAAACAGAAATGTTGAAAAAAAGACTGAATCGATAAGAACAAAAAAATTGTCAATTTGTATATGAAAAGCTAATGAACTCAAATTTCTCTCTTTCGACTAAAATCCCTAGTAATTGAACCATCCAAACCTCCATGCGAATGGCCAATACCTACCAACTTCAAATTGAACCAGACTTATATGTAGGCTATGATTGTTCGCCAACTAATACCCAAAACTCAGTGCTTCTAAAAAGTTATGTGGACCTGAAGGCCAATGAAAAAAGAAAAATTCTTTCACAATTTTCTCCCTAGTCATTTAGAATGATTTTACATATGGTTAAAAGTGGAAAAATTATATGAAACTCGTTGCACTACATATATTCACTTTGATCGCCTTTTTTTAAAAACACTACAATTAGATCTCGTGCTTTTTAAAATTACATGACTTCAACTTGGCACCCATAGTGTAAAAATATTAGACAACTGCAATTATTTTCAAGAGACATTATAACATACGTGACTTAAAGTAAACATGACATCTTTTTACCTGACAGCACAACCCTTCAAAGCATAGAATAGTGTATCCTTCATGCTAGATTAAAAAATTGATGAACAGGAGAAAAAGGAAAATATCAGAGGATTAAATTGTGAATCCTCATTGATAGTGTTATCAAGTGAGCCAAGCACTCACACTACCACCCTAGCAAGGTGAGGCAAGGCTTCAACACTTCAAACACCTCCCGGGAAGCACCACACATAGGAGTAAGACACTAAGCAGCTAGGAGCTTATTATGCCGAGATTTATTTAATTATTTTGTGAAGCATGCACAACAATATTATAAGATAGAGGGATACAAAATCTAATAATAAAGAAGAGAGTAGGAGTGATGAAGAAGATGAAATAAATATTAGTAAAGACTATGTTAACCTAGAAATATGAAAGCAACTAACTTAAGTTTTCATTCGCTTGTTTAAATTTGAGATGTAAACTTTTAGTCTTTACGAGCAGTTTTTTTAAACAATCCATGAGGTCAGATTTTGTCATTTTGGAATGATATAAAATTTCAAATGTAGCTTTGCCGCCTTTATTTAAATATTTTATTACAATAATTATCTTATTATAGCATACAAAAGCAGAAAATTTTTTGCATCAAGTCACTTCGCTCAGAAGGGCGCCTAGCACATCAGTAGGCAATCATATTGCCATAAAGATGCCTAGCACCATCGATAACATTGTTCATCAAACAAGAAGAAAAAAAAATGTACCAAAAGGATGTGACACATAAGAATACTTAGATTAAAAAAATCTAAAGCATTGCCAAAAAAACCTTGACAGAAGTAATTAGATAAAGCTTAAAATAGAAAATGGTAAATCTTAGTGGATTGTATTGTAAATCCTCTTCAAAACACTAAACAAGAAGGATGAAAAGCAATTGAATGATGTGACCTAAAAAACCCTTTATAAATGTGACCCACATCCTTTATAACAAATGAATCCCAAAAAACCCTAAAAACTAGAATAAGAATGATAAAAATACCCACAATATTAATATTCGCAGTACCTATTTGAAAGAGCTTCTTAGTGACTGGCAAATTCATAAAAAGTCATAGGAATCATCTCATATGAGGACAAATTATCAAGGAAGATGGGTGCGGTCGCTAGACAACATCATTTAATTTCAACAAGATTCCCAAATGAGCTTGTAAAATAAGAGTATTTTTAAGTATTTGTCGGATGTTTTAACTTCGTAATTTGAAAAAGTGGTGATTTTGTAATTTTTAAAAATAATTTAAACATGAATATAACCCTTGTTTATTTTTAAAAGTAACATTTTAATTTTAAAATAGGTGAGACCAAACGGGTCTCACATTTTAAATAGTTTAGATAATTGAATACAATACCACAAATAATATGTTTATCCCGAAGAATAAATATATCACTTGTAATAGGGATTCAATTGCCTAGACTAAAGAATTTGTGACATCTATTCTGGTCTGCGAAATATTTTATAAAAAAGCCAACAAGTTCCCCTACCTAACATAAAAAATTAGATATGATTTATTTTATCTGAGTTCCAAGTTCTCTATAGAGGCAAGCCCTTAAATGACTGGGGTCACTTAAGAAAACTCTCGATTAAGATCAGGTGGTTTGCCTTCAAAATTTCAAAAATTAGGTTTCCACAATTGGACATGGGAAAATCAAATAGGAATGACTCAAAATAGGAACAATTATTTAAGGAATCCAAAGGGAAGAGTAGGGGATATCACAGATCTTGGGAAAACCCCGGTGAACTCCCAACTATCATATTGTTTGGCTTTATGTCTTTGAAATGATGTAATTTGATATTTCAATCCTGCAAATTATTTGGGATTTAGGACTTATGTTTGCACAATATCAGACTGTGCAAATAGCCTAAAAAGATAGGATGATTTACACCATACCGCACAGTAACCTCGAAATCCTAAAGTGTTAGGACTTATAATAGCTTAACAGAGTTGTGCAAAAAGTCTAAAGTGTGATCCTATGGGTTGTTATTTAAACTAAATAAAGTGATAGGTGATGTGTTTTGGTGTTTCGCTGTTGCAGATCCACCTTGAAGTTGTTCCTCGTCCTGCTGCCCACGTTGTTCGCTCCAAGCTCCTCATAGTAGCACCTCCTGGTTTAGTGTTAATCCTATACAACCACTAGGTTCTCCTAAACTAAGGCATAGTGTGTATCAAAATAACTAAACATGCAGTATAAAAGAAAAGAACTGTATAGTGTACAGTAGAAAAAAAAGTCAGTATAAAATGCTGAAAGAAGAGTATAACGTGCTGAGAAAAAGCAGTATAACATGCTGGGAAAATAGTATAACAGACTATGAAAATAATATAACATGCTGTGAGATAAAATATTGTAATGTAAATTAAACCTGTACACCTGAAAGGTTCATTGCTCTTTTAAGTTTAGCTATTATACGTTGTGTAAAAGGGGAAAGTATGACCTGAAAAAGACTTAAGAGAAACAGGTAAATCGTAGGAAGAAGATAAACAAATAAAATAAAATACAATATCACATATAAAAGACCAAGAATAGGAGATTTATATGTGATATTGGGAATGTCCCCAATTGCCAGGAGAATTTGAGTGTAAGATAAACTCAAATCTCGGAGCATTGGATTTCAGTTTTGGTCAAGTTAAGGCAAGAATTTTATTATTTGATTTAATTAAATCAGTCATGAATCACGATCTAGTGCACCCTCGTGCCTAGTGTCCTAATTATCTCATGAACTGGGATCAGATGTCTGGCTTCTTAGGATCATTTGAACATTAGAAGGATGAACTCTCTCAAGGTGTGCTCCTAAGATCTAGGAAGCCTACACTTTAATTTAGGCATCAAGTGTTCTAAAGTGTCTAACTTTAATTAAGTGTCCTACAACTAATCCTCGAACATATTTAGATCAAGCTTAGCTCGCTATCAGGCTCCTAAAAACTAGGGGGTAAACTTATAGTTCTGGCAAAAGGGTTGTGAAGTGTGCTTCAATCCTAGTTAGGGCAATTGGATTTAAGTTTATTCAACGCTTAAGGGACCTAAGTGCAGGTCTAGTAATCTTTCAATACATGTCCCTAATTGTAATCTAAACTCTCACTTTCTTTCAACCCTCAAATATTCTTCTAATTTACGATTTCATTTTTCTTATGTAAACGGAACGGTGAATGGTTTGTTATCATATCTCCTCCTTAGATTTTAACATCTCAAAGAAC